AAAATTTGTTTAATTTACATGCATGAAATTGCTAGATGATTATTAATTTGACCTTCTAACATTTTCAAGAAAAAGTTGAGAGGTGGAGCTGTAATGGGCCTTGAGGACACAGGCCCCAACTAGCTCATCAGCCCAATCTTTTGATAGAATAAGTTCAATTAAAAATCTAACTTTTTTTGGAAGACTCATATTAGGGGTGTCAAAGCACATCTGAGTCAGGTTTGGGTCAAATTTGAAATTGACAAGCTCTTAACACATCTAACTCGAACTTGATTTGCTTGTCCAAATAGATTAATAATATAGAAACGAGCCTGACCCGACACCAACCCAACCCGTTAACCCGTTGAGTGCAGAAGGGCGAGGGTGAGTGCGAGCACGAGCTGCAACTAGTGAGTGCCATTAATGTTGGCAATGAGTGTGACTAGTGTGAGCATGGGTGAGATGCAATTGAGCGAGCGTTTGAATCAAATGGGATGAACAAGTGAGAATGCGATGGACGGATCAAACGGATTCCATTCAGGTTCATAGGTTAACGAGATATGCTTTCCATTTTACAGTTTTAACGATCATATATTTAATTTTTTATATTAAAACTCTTCTTTTTTTCTTTTTTAATCACCAATGTTGTTCCAAAGTCGAACGAAAAATATTGTAATCAGTATTTTTAAAATCGTCAATTTGTACCCCCACACAAAAAGATTTCTAGCTCCACTCCCCTGATGAAAGGGAGAGCTGAAGGCCATTCCATGATTCCATCACTTTATCTCTCAAAGACCAACATTATATGAAACATTATAAGATTTACTTCAATTTTGCTTTGGGACTGATATATTATGGCTTCTTCTTTTTCACCAAAGATGATGCTTTTGATCACATGGCCCCATTCAACCATACAAACCAAAGAAGCTTGAATTTGGTGGCAATTAAATGAGGAGAACTTTTAAATAGATAATGCCACATAATGCTTTTAATCTTGCTTTTAGGATAGAGAGCTTTAATTTAAAGTATGGCATAGATTGAAATAAAAGGAGCTGATTTGAGATAGAAAGGGAGGTTTTTTTTTTTTTTTTTGGAACGGGGTATTCACCCGTTGCCTCTCTTGAAAGGGCGTTGGCGTGACTAATCATCGGCCGACCTAGAAGAAGCACCCACCCAAGAAACCTCTTGTCCCGCACTTGATTGGGCCCTACTTAAGAGGCGCTGCCGCTCAAGGGGAATCGAGCATGGGTTGGGGGTTTCCCAATCTACTTGCCCACCAACCAAGCTAAACATCGGTGGGTGAAAGGGAGGTTTCAAACACATAAAAATGGAAGAAGAAAAGGAAATAAATTAGAGAAAATTTTCAAAATTTCGTTTATGCTTGATTTTCTGTTGTTGTTGCTTTAGTTTTACATTGCGTGTTCTTTCGAAACTTTCAAATAGTAGAGAACCGTTAGGAATGAGAAAGGGAGCAATGGCGAGGATCTTACTGATCTCCTTTTGCTGTGTATTTTTCTTCCTTCAAGCACACCTTTTGTAGCAATTCCAAGTACTTTTCTCATGCTAATTATTAGAAGATCCTTTATTTGTCTTTTGGACCATCTGGGGATCAAGGCTTTTGACTGTGACTGAAACTTGTTTGAAAGAAAAGCATATTGTATTCATGAAAATTTTCTTTTTGCACGAATTTGTGAACAATTTCATGTTCAAGGAAAAGGAATTGCAGATAAAGGTGCACTGATCTTTATCAATGAAGCAGTTTGGTTGCAATAACATATTTTTTTTTGCTGCAAATAAGATTTAGCAATGTAATTATGATTCTCTTGCATTCAAAATCAATCCTTGGTTCTCTGCAGCAATAAAAATCTGATTTTTTTTTTTGTTTGTTTTTGCATGAAACTTTAATCTTTATAATGAACGGCATCCTATTTTTCCTTGCAAAAGATAAAGATTTAGCAGTGAATATTTTGTTTTGCATATTATTCCATATTTTACTGGGAATTTATATGCTCAATAACAAATTTTCTCTGCAAATACTTGTAATTTTTCTATTTTGTTACCTTTTTTTCCTACTTTTTAATTAATAATTTTAAATTTCTTAGTGTCTGTCATCTTTATTCAGAAAACTGCTGAGACTACAAGCGATGAGTAACAGAACATTCTTATGTAAATGTTAATAACATTGATACTTTAAGAACTTCATAATAATCAGAGCAACGCTGAAACAAACAAAATAACAAAGTGCTTTATGCGTTTTTTATTTGATATTCAGTAACATCTGATGCGCATTTTATATATCATGATGAAGAAATATGTTCAATTTGTAGCTGAAATTTTTTCTTTCTTTTTCCTCTATCTCCCTCCCTTTCATTTCTTGTCCTTCTCTGCAAAATCCAACATGTTGCAGGTTTTCAGTTTGTTTTTGCTTAAAAAAAATGAAGAGCAACATAAGATATCGGCTCCATGAAATGAGATCTCTAGAGTTAATTATCCTGTATTTCTGTACATTTACTTCGTCTCATCACTAGAACAAGGTGGAGAGCTGCCTTCCATGAAAGTGCACAACAATGGAGGCCATTTGCCTAAGCACAACAACAATGAAATAAATGAGATCTCTGCATTTCTGACATTTTTGTTGATCAGTATCATCTTTGATCTTCAAAGAGAGAGGAAGGATTAGAGTTTAAAATCACAAAAACGGAAAAAATAAGAAGTTAATTCTAATGCCTGATACCGGGTTGATCTATCCAGACCGGTTTAGCCAACCAAATCCGCCCCCTTACTGTGGCCAACCGGGCATCTTACTACGATCTTGAAGTTCCTCTTACCCCGGTAGAAGATGCCGGAGCTATTGCTTGGTTATTTGTCATAAACTTCAGTCTATATATTGGCCACATAATTAGATAGTTTGGCCTTTATATTTTCTTCAGGCCTATTGCCTTATATGCAGCCTTTCAAATACTACAAATAAGGGCTAGTGCTTGTAATGGAGGAGAATTGAATAGATTTGTTTTGAGTTTAATTTCATTTTCTATATCCTGAATTGAATTCAGGTGGTGATTTCTTCCAAGAAGGAGTTCTTGGATCTGTGCTCGTCGAGCCCCCTCCAGTCCAGTGTCAATGCCCTTGTAGTGATCCAAGCAATTTAAAAGTTCACGTTATTTGATACTTTATTGTATTGAAAACTTTCAGTATTCTACATCATTTAGTATTAAAATTATATTAATGATCATATATCAATACAACATTATACATTTATAACTTTATATGCAAAGCTTAGCCTAATGAACTGACCCAAATGATGTTTAGTCTTTGAGAAGAGTTCTTCTGCTTTATTCCTTCTTTCTTTTGAGTCCTAAAGAAAGAAATCCTACAGTGTTCCCTATTATTTCTTGGGGTAGCCAGCCAAAGATGCCAAGAGGGAATTGAGGTCTCGTTTTCTGTGCTCAGCTGCCTATCACTACAAATCATTTTGCTGGAAACTATAAATCGAATATATATACATTATATAATCCAAAGTTATTATTAGCAGATAAAGCAACAACAACAAAACAGCTCTCACACGTGGCACAATAAGATTGGATAGTATTTGTATTACCTTATAAACACATCTATAAATATGTAATACTTGTACTCAGTAAAATAAGCATAATAATAATTTCTCTGTCTTGTCATGTTCATACTTTACCTTTCTTTATCATTGCGTTTGCAAACTCAGTTCAAGAACTGAGATTCTACAGTTATAAGGTAACAAAGAGAAAAGAAGAAAGGTAAAAAAAAGAAAGTGAAGCATGTTAAATTTTTAAAAAAAGCTGATGGGCTTAGATTCTGCTTATCATTTCACAGCATTTGTTTATGAAATTCTCATATTCATCTTTTAAGAATGTTTTTAATGTGTTAACTGAGCATATGAGATTATTATAAAAAAAAAAATTATCTATAATATGATATGGAATAAAGAGAGAGAATGATGTTTCTATTGTTTTTTTTTTCATTTGGATCCTGTAAGAATAGGATGTTAAGTGCTTGAAGAATTGAAGCTATATACATATGACACATAGGCTGCTTCTGTAGGACATGTGATTTTAATCATGTAGAATATGGTTTGGGTAGTTAAGGTTTGTTACTTTAATCATAATCTTTCCTTTTCATAACTTGATTTCTATTGAAGATTTGTCACTTTTGGATCTATAATTGTCATCTATGTTGGACTACTTTTAAGAGAATGAGAGATTTGAGTTCAAATGTTCTCTTTATTTGATTGAAAATTATATACATTATAGGAAAATCATTCATTACAAGTGGTATACGTCAATTTTCCGGCTGTTTTGAAAAATTCCGGCGATTTTCTGGCGGTATACGTCAATTTTTCACTTAAAATGATGGCTAAACCGCCTATAAATACGTCATGAAAATAGAATACCGGTGGAACTTCCGGCTGTCATTTGACCTGGGAAGTTCCGACGATTTGGTCTTTTTTATCAGTGGTCAAACCTTCAGTAAATAGCGACGATTAGACCAATGGTTTAACTGCTGGTAATTCCAGCATCAGAAGTTCCACAGTTATTCGTTAAATTTCCTATAGTGATAAGATTTGATTGGCATTTTAGAGAGAGAAAGTGATGCACCATAAATGCATGAAAATTTATATTGCATTTGTATTTTATTTATCTAAAAAGTGATTTTTTAATATAGCAAATCATCCATTTTCTAACATATTAAACTCCCAAAAAAAAAAATGAAGGACTAATAAATTATATTTTACATGATCTGGTCATATGAGTCAGTGCATAGAATTTTGGTCATATGAAAATGAATGAAGAAGGAGCTAAACAAAGCTGCGGGTCCTTTGATGCTACTTGTCAGCACATGCATTCCACTTTTTACTGCAAGAAAATCCACTTTGGACCATCGATTTAACCTCCCATGCAAGAAAAGAACACAACTCATCAGCCTCCCCTCTTATAAAGCAAAATACACAAAAAAGCAGCCCTCCACTCTCTTAAAAAACATTCACACTACATCACTCTTCTCCTTCCCTTACAACTTCGTCACTCTCAAACCATAGCCTACCCACCCACTTATACTAGAAAGCCCAACAACGATCTTCTCCCTCCTCTTCCACTTCCTCTTCCTCTCCCTCTCCCTCTCCCTCTTCAACTATTTTCTAACCAAGGCCATGAGAGCTGGTGGTTGCTCGATCCACCAATCCCTCACCCCGGATGCTGCCGCCATCGTCAAGCAAGCCATAAACCTTGCCCGCCGGCGTGGCCATGCTCAAGTCACTCCTCTCCATGTGGCCAACACCATGCTCTCCTCCTCCACCGGTCTCCTCCGCTCCGCCTGCCTTCAATCCCACTCTCATCCTCTCCAATGCAAAGCACTTGAGCTGTGCTTCAACGTCGCCCTTAACCGCCTCCCTGCCGCCTCTTCCTCATCCCCTCTGCTTCCCCCTCAACAACCCCCTTCCCTATCCAACGCTCTCATCGCCGCCTTCAAGCGCGCCCAAGCTCACCAACGCCGCGGCTCCATCGAAAACCAGCAACAACCCCTCCTGTCTGTCAAGATCGAGCTTGAACAACTCATCATCTCCATCTTAGATGACCCTAGTGTTAGTCGAGTCATGCGTGAGGCTGGCTTTTCGAGTACTCAGGTCAAGTCTAATGTCGAACAAGCCATCTCATCAGAACCTAACCCTAACTCAAACCCTAAACCTAAACGAACCACTCCTGAAAAGGCTGATGAGGACATAACAAGCTTGGTTGAAAGTCTCATGAGCAGCAAGAAGAGAAGTATAGTTGTGGTTGGGGAGTGTTTGGCTAATACTGAAGGAGTTGTGAAGGGGTTAATGGAAAGAGTTGATAAAGGACAAGTCCCTGAGATTCTCAGAAACTTGCAGTTCATTAATCTTCCACTGTTGTCCTTTAGTGGGATGTCTAGAGGGGAGGTGGAGCAGAAGGTGAGCGAGTTAAAGTGCTTGTTGTTGAAGAACTGTTGTGTGGGGAAAGGAGCTGTGCTTTACTTGGAGGATATAAAGTGGATTGCAGAGTTCAGAGCTAATAGCTATGATGAGAGGGCAGGATTTTATTGTCCTGTGGAGCATGTGATTATGGAGATTGGGAGGTTGGTTTTATCTGGTATTAATGGAGGTGAAGATGGAGGTATAAGAGGAGGAGGAGGAGGAGGAAGGTTTTGGTTAATGGGAATTTCAACTTATCAGACTTACATGAGGTGCAAGATGGGAAATCCTTCTTTAGAAATTGTTTGGGGATTGCAGCCTCTTACTATTCCAGTTGGAAGCTTGGAGCTGAGCCTCAATTGCGATAATTGGTAATTTTTATAATCTATATCTATATTTCTATGATGATTTTGAATTATAAACAGTTCTGTTGCTGAGATTATTCATCTCTTATGAAGGTGATGAAATCTATGCAGTTGCTTGCAAGGTGTGCTAATCTATAAAGAAAAGTTAGTATAAGGACTTTTAATGAAGAAAAGTTTATGCTCCAACTTTTCTTTTCTTTTTTTCCGTTTTACTTTTTTGAATTCTTTTATGGCTCTTCCTTTCATGTTACTAAGGATAGGAAGCCGTTTAATATCTTATGATTAAAAGAACTTAAATTTTCAATATATATAAAAGTACTTACAAATCTAAAGCTTTTTCATTGCTTGCAGATTTGAGTGGAAAGTAAATTTAGATAAACTTTTAATATGCCTTCTCCAAATATGAATTTCTAATTAGCAGTGAAGAAAAAATGCAGCTGAGTAATTTTCTATTCTCTTTTTTTTCCCAGTGATGCACAAAGCCTGCACAAAAGCAGTGTAAGTGGAGCTTGGCCTGTTCTACAAGAAGATACAGAGGGGAATCAGCTCACTTGCTACACTAATTTCCCCATAAAGTTTGAGAAAGATGCTCAAGCTTCGACTACCTCGACTTTACCTCCATGGCTGCAACATTATAAAGAAAAGAGCAAGAAAGATGCGAGAGATCAGGTAGTTAATTTAAAACCTTTAATTTATGCATGAATTTTTTTGAAGTAAAAAAGAAAAAAAATGTAAAAGAGCTTTTATGCAATGCAGGATTGTCTCAATTCAATCAACAGGCTACAAAACCTGACATCGGAAATTACTCTACATTTCTCTTCAACTTCTCCATCTAATTCTTCTATATCTTCCTACAACAAGTACCATAGCACAGGCGCCATAAGCTTGAATCAAAGTCAGCATCCATGGAAGCAAAATCAAGTTTGGTCATCAGAAGGAATCAGTAGAGCGTTTCCTTTTACAATTTTGAACAATTCTTCTGCTAACCCTAACTTAACTTCTACGGCTAATACCATGGACATGGAGAATTGTTACAAGTTCAAAGAAGTAAATGCTGAGAATCTGAAGATTCTGTGTAATGCTTTGGAGAGAAAGGTGCCATGGCAGAAGGCTATAATCCCTGAGATAGCTAGCACTATACTTCAGTGCAGAGCTGGTATGAAGAGAAGGAATAAAGAAGACACTTGGTTGTTCTTCCAAGGTGGCGATATAGGAGGCAAAGAGAAGATTGCTAGGGAGATTGCAAGCTTGGTCTTTGGTTATCACACGAGCTTCGTTGCATTAGGTCTCAGTTCCTCTTCATCAACTAAATCTGATTCGACTGATGATGCAAGGAACAAGAGGTCTAGATCAGAACGAAGCCAAGGTTTCCTTGAGATGCTCGCTCAAGCTTTGAGAGAGAATCCTCATCGAGTCTTCTTGGTGGAAGATATAGAACAAGTGGATTTTCACTCTCAAGTTGGTATCAAAAATGCTATAGAGAAAGGCAGCTTTCAGAGCTTAGAAGGTGAGGAAGTAGCCGTTAAGGATGCCATTGTCATATTAAGTTGTGAAGCTTTTGATTCAAGATCAAGAGGTTGCTCTCCTCCTGTGAAGCAGAAAATAGAGAGAGAAGAAGGAAAAGATGATCAGGAGCTGTGTGCGAAGGAAAACAATTCATATATTTGTTTGGATTTGAATCTTTGTGCTGCAGATAATGAAGCGGCTGAGTCTTTGTGGTATGGTGGGGAGAGTGAGAAGCTCTTAGGTGCTGTTGATAGAGCCTTCTTTTTTAAAATGCCTGAGGATCTGTAATTCTTTTACAAATTTCTGTTGTTTGAATTCATGGGTTAAGAACTGCTGAGAGTGTTGCTTCTTGTTTATATTTGCTTTTGTGAATTTTCAAATGAGAGATATATATATTTTGCTAGCCACCGGACTTGAGAAAATTCCAGGCTTTTGTATTGGGAAAAGGAGGGGAAAAAATCTACCATTAAGTGATATCCTGATGAAATTTTTTTTTTTCAAGTTTTTGCCTATGTCTAATGGGTCTCTACTTTCTTGTTATGATACTTATTTTCTTGTTGGTATCTCATCATTTGGCATAAATGGAAGTAATAAATTGAAGTAAATTTAGGGCGAGCACAGTTGGGAACTTTTATCCCGGGTTTGAATCCCCTCTACTACGGCCTCATCTCTTCAGTGAGGCAAAGCAAGCGTGAGCCCAATGCCGATGGGTGACCTCGCCAGCTTCCGTCGAATGATTAGTTACGTTGTCAAGCACTCCTTTTGAAGTGGCAGTTTCAAAATTTTTTTTGAAGTAAATCTTTTTTTTTTTAAATATGATTATTAATAAGCATGAATTATAAATTAAATTTTTTCCTTTGATAATAATTATAAGAAAGAAAAAAGAGATTGCTGATGAAACTACCGACCGAATCAAAATAGATGAAAATTCGGGTGGCACTGATGGAGGAAGTGTTGGTGGAAAATTTAATGGAGATATTTTAGGTAGATTTTTGGTAGAATATTCTTACAGTTATATTGTTAATTATTTCCGGTAGATTTTTTGCCAAAAAATTTATAATAATTTTTTGCATGTTATCTTCTTCCTCTCATTTGCATCTCTGAAGTTTCTGACCTCCCAAGCCATTTGGGGCCATTTTTTATTAGATTTAATACTTCAATTCTTAAATGGATTTGAAGGTAAATTAATATCTTTCTTTATCTTATTTTTAGATCAATTTAAGATTTTTTCAATTTGTTTTTATTTTTTATTTTTTATTTAGGCTTCTAAAATTTTAGGTTTAGGGTTTAAATTTTTTAATATATATTTCAATTTAGATTATAAATATGGTTTTTTATGTTAGATTTTAGATATCTTTCATTGGTTTACAAATATTTTCATTTGTTGGATTTTAATGATCCTTTTTTGGGTGAAATATTTGTTCTTTTGTTAGATTTTAGTGATCTATTAAGTTTAAAAATTTTATGTTATAATTAAGTGAAGTTTTGTTTAGGAATTTTAGATTAAATTTAAATGGAATTTTTATTTAGAACATTTATATTTTGTTTATGAAAATATTAAGCAAAATTGGTATACTTATTTGATATTAGGAACTTCATTTGTTAATGAAATTATATCTAGTCTATGTTAATTTTACATAAATATAACATATATAAGGATATTCAAAGTAAAAAATCCTTGATGTATAATATATTTTAATCTAGGCATAAAGGAATAATATATGAATTCATCAAAGGTATTAAATATTTAATATGCATAGCTTCTCAACAATCATTATTTTTATCCAAAGGAAGGTTTAGATATTTATGCTCTAAACATAAAAATTAAGCGTAACTTATGCTTGATGAAGTTAAGCTTGATTTAATGTAAAGGATTCCAATCAAATTTTTTATTCTGGACATCACATGGAGAGTGAGATCCATGTATCAAATCTTAATGCAGTTCTTCTATAAGATACGTACCAATACATAAAGAACATACTAGGACAAATATTAAAGAAGTGGTTTTCAATGCAAATGGCTCACAATTTAAAGAACATACAAATGAACCTTCTAACATGGAAGCCCAAAATTTTTATTAATTATTACAGACAACTGATCATTGCACTTAGGATGCTCAGCATTAAGACAAAGTATAACATGAGGCATGAATATTTTAGTCAATTTGTTGGACTAATAAAGGAAACTAATCCAACAGATAAATTAATTTTAGCTGATTTATGCAGAAAAAATATGTTAGCATCCAAATTTATAAGTTTAAGTGAAGAAAAAGTAGATTGATGTTCCACAACTCTCCATCATCAATAAGATAAAGTTGCTTGATCATGATGATGATTTTATAAAAATTGTATATAATCACTAACGCACCTCAATTCATGAGCTCTAAAATATATTACAAGGATGATTTTATAAAACTTCTATATAAGCACTAATGCACCTCAATTCAAATCAAGAAGTGAAAAACAACGATAGCACAAGGATGTCCCATGTAGTAAGTTATTTTATTTACCTATCATTTCACATCTGTATATAACAATATGCATCCATGAGCTCTACTAGTCACATGATATGGCTTCATGAAAGAATTTTAAAATCAGCTGATCTAATTCATCCATCAAATGTTGGGGTATAAAAACACTTTGATCTTAGACATCCACAATTCGCCACCAAACTACAAGATATTAGGATTAGATTATGTGCTGATGATTTCACTCCTCATGATCTAGCAACTTTATCTTACTGATGATGGAGAGTGATACTTAAAATTTGTAATCACTCACCTGAGATGTACATAACTACATACATATTTCTCATGCTCATTATACCTAGACTACATAATTAAAAAAATAATAATAAAAGTACTTATAATAACTAGTGATAGATTGCTTGAAGATTTTGTGGAAAGAATGTGTGCTCATATATATGATACTTTTGGAAAATAATTTTTTTAGATGAAAGCAACACTACTATGGATAACTTATGACTTTCCAACATACAAGATGACATAAATTTGGAGCACTACATGAAAGTTGCCAAGCCCATATTGCATATAAATATGTAAAGCATTCACATAAAAATATGGAGAAACAAAGAATCCCATCTTGCAAATCTTTTTTTCGCCCTAGCCGCCGCTCTGCATTTCTGAGGCGATTTTGGGGCGATCTTCCTCGCTGCTGGTGTGTGGCTCTCCTAGCCAGATTTCTGCCGTTGAATACCATCAAGCTGACTTAGGATCATTTATGGAAAAGGATAAATATAATATACAAAATTACTAGGTCTCCAATATTATCAAATTGTAGACTTTTTTTTTTTTTGTTAAAACCCACGGAGGGGCCTACGCATTAATATAAGGGAAAAAATTACAGGGTTCTTAAGGGGTTCTCAAGCTCTCTACCGCTCAAAGAGCTACAAAAAGAAAGAAAATAAAACCTACGAGCTCGAGATCCCCACTATATAAGAGTACAAAAAAACCTAAGAACATTCTATGGTCCTTAACACCCAAAAAAGGGGAAGCGGCAAAAAAACAGCAAAATGCTCCCCAACACGATCATCCACACTGATCTTCCAATTAATCCGACTAAAGAGGACCTGCAAACACCACAAAAAACCAAGAAACAGCAATATAAACCTAAAGCAACTAAATGAGAACAGAAAAATCCCAAAAGGATCGATACAGCCAAGCCATGCAGCACGAGCCCTGCATCCAATAAAAAAAACCAAAAACAAAGAATTGATAATGAAACAACTCTAGATTTCCCAAAATAGATCCAAAGGATTACCAAAACCGTGCATGCAACCCAAATACAAACAATGCCAGCCATTTAAAACAAATGGCCAACCAAACCTCCGGCAAGAACAAAGCCAGAACCAGAGAAATAGAACCCCAACCATCATATCAGCATGAAGAACCACCCAGCAACACCAAACAGGCAGCCAAAGCTCCAGAAACCCAAAAACCAACCAGAAGCAGCAACCACACCACACCAGAACACCCATTAATTTCTAACATAAGGAAAGCCCATACGGTCCAAATTCACCAAACCCTTAATAGAGTTAGGAAGCTGATTAAAAGAAAACTCAGCTAAACTATCATAGCCAGCACCCAGCAAGGCCAAATGACTAGCTGGGGCGTTACCTTCCTCCGGAATCAACGACAAAGAAAAATTAAGGGAAGATAAAATACCTTTAATACTCCTGACAGTGTAAAAAGAAGAATAAGAGCAGTGACCATCAACCCTATTAAGTAAAAAATTTAAAGAAATGTAAGAGTTAAATTCCAGAATTATATTCATAACATCCCGATTATCAAATTGTAGACTTTCAGTTTATGTTATACTCACAAATGGACCAACAAAAATATTTTGTGAGATCTACTGTATTGGAGGATAAATTTTATACAACACAATTTAGATGTTATGCATATTAAACAAATGTATTTAAGATTTCCTCTTTGACTTCAGGGAATCTCCTAATAACTTATTTAAGATGCACTTTTTTCCTAAACCCTAAACTGAAGAGTAATTTGTATTAGACTATTCTTGACAAAATACTTGGTTGGATATCCAGCTAGAAGGGTTTCTACCTTGAAGGCACTTTGAGCTTATCAAGACAACCTTTTAATAATATTTAATTTCTATACTTTGGCCTTTACTATCCAACAATCAATTCTTTTTTAGGTTTGCTCCATCTAAGATAAATCTTATATCTATGGGCACTTTTAAGAAATTATAGATGATGTTTAGAAATCCTACATTATTTCCTAAAAAATATAGTGCTCATTGCGATAAGATGAATCCTAGCCTCTTCTGGTTAATACTGCATAGATCATATTTTAATTTGTCTTAGCAAATAAATGAATGCATATTTTATTGACATGCTAAGATATCTCATGACTCTTTCTCTTAATAATTCATTATTAGTGTTAAACTGATTATGAAGATATATTCTAAGTATATTATTGGCAAGAAGAAATCTCAAAGTCTTTTTTTAAACAATTGGTTAATGGCTCCACTGTTATTAATCATTTGGGATATAGTTTCATTGATGTTTTAGATCTATTAGGGTATCTTAAGATATTTTCTATCCTTATGGGTATGAAAATTCTATTCGATGCTTGAACATTTATGAAGCTCTAAAGGATATATATTTTCACTAATCCTGATTGCAATGATATTCTATTCTTGGTACTATCAATGGTAATTCACTTTTTCTTCTATCATTATTCTTCTTCTTCTTATTCTAAGGATTGTGGAATGGTACCCCTTTATTCGGTTCATTGGGGTGAAGAAGAGACAATCTTTTTCTCTCAATGGACATTTGCCTCTTATAAATTTTAGTAATTAACTATATGGATTAGCTTATGAAGGTTATACTCTTAAAGTTATTATATGTGCGACATATCCTTTTTATTAGCTAATTATATAGCCCTGCTCATTTATTAGAGAATTATATGACACAGTTTTTTTTTTAATGTTCCAAAAACTAGTCTCCATTATCT